CCATAACAATAAAGAACCATTTTTAAAAGAATGGAGAAAATTCAGTGGATTTAATGAGGAGGTTAAGAATTTGATATTGAAATGAATTTGCCAACAAAAGAAAAGAACAAAGAATTGTCTTCAAATAGTGTTTTAGAGAAGAAAACTCTAAAAGAGATTTTGGAGGACATCTAAATTAAACATCCTCATTTTTCTTTTTAATAGCTTTACTGATGTACATTTCACATATCCATAAAATTCATTCATTTAAAATGTTCAGTTTAGTGGTTTTAAGTATATTTACAGAATTGAGCAACCATCATGAGAATTTAAGTACAGATAATTTTACTTACCCCAAAGAGATAACCATTAGCAATCATTAATAACCATTTGCTCCTGAATCCACTACTCTATGTTATGTGTCTACAGATTTTTCTGTTTGAACATTTCATATACAGAGTCATACAGCATCTTTTGTTGCTGGGTTCTTAAACTTAGCATGTTCTCAAGGTTCATCCATGTTGTAGCACATGTCATTACTTTTTATGGATACATAATACCTCATTGTGTGGATATGCCACATTTTGTTTATCTATTAATCAGCTGGTGGGCATTTGGGTTGTTCCTGCTTCTTGGCAATGGTAATGCTGCTATGAACATTTGTTTCATCATGGACATATGTTTTCATTTCTCTTGGATATATATCTAGGAATAGAACTGTTGGCTCATATGGTAACTTGATGTTTAACATTTTGAGGAACTGCCAAACTCTTTCCAAAGTGGCTGCATCATTTTGCATTCCTACCAGCAACACATGAAGGTTCCAATCATAGCCTCACTAACATTTGTTATTGTCTCTTTTATTTTAGCTGCCCTAGTAGTTGTAAAGTAAAATTTTTACTATAGGTTTGGATCTTCCTTATTTAGGAAACTCATACCCTATGTCCCAGTTAGTCATGAGTAAAATCTGAACTGCAGAGTTATGTTGTTTTAGAGAAAGAGATGGAAGGATAACAACTGTTACTCCTGGTCACTGAGAAGGTATGGAGTTAAGGAAGGAAATGGGGAAAATACTACTAACGTTTTTCTTTTATATTCACCTATTGTTAAAATGGGCATTGTCTGTACATGTATTAGTTTAATAAAATAATATCAAACAAAAATATCAAAAAGCAAAATAAGACCCTCTATGTCTTTTGATTTCCAGTTCATTTGTTAACCCTTTGGGAGTTTGGGTGAAAATCTTTTTGTGCAAAAGGATTATATTATACATATATAAAGAAACAAAAATGTATTATATAATAGCTGGATTGTATACTACATTTAAAATAATATATATCTGTAAAATATTTAAAATACTAGTAAGATGAAGCTTGACCAAATAAAATCTGGGTGTTCTGTGTAACACTGGCCAAGATTTGCTGGAAAGTTTGAATAAAGGTGTTTTCAGATTATTAATTAGTTGCATGGAAGAAATTCTTTTTGTGTGTGATTAAAATGCAATCAATGGGGCTGGGTTGTGGCTCAGTGGTAGAACACTTGCCTTGCATTCGTGGGGCACTGGGTTCGATCCTCAGCACCACATAAATAAATAAAACAAAGGTATTGCATCCATCTACAACAACAACAACAAAAAATAAAAATAAATGCAATCAAGGGGCTGGGGATATAGCTCAGTTGGTGAGTGATCCTTGGGTTCTAATCTCCAGCACAATAGGAAAAAAATTTAAAAAGCAATCAAGCTACAGTTGGTCTTGCCCTCCTTGTCATTTTTGAACATGGTTTAATAAATAGACTTATGACTTGATAAACACTGTGTTGTGCCATTTGGCAGATTTGCTGGCATGCTGGTATGCTAGGGGCTATTTTTTCTGATCTGGTGCAACAATCTATGGAAGATCATTTATACTTGGCTAGCAATTCACAAACTTCTACTAAGTCATTCTTCCAACACAAAGAATGAAATAAGTTTATGTAAGTTCAAATATTTAATGGCAATGCCCACATGTGGATAGGTCTTAAAGTGGATAAATTTTGTGAACTTATACAGAAAGCATGGCAGACACAATTCACTTTTCATAATTTCATTTTCTAGGGACTATGTATATTCCTTTATGGTTTGAACAAAACTGTTCAGTAGTTTTAGCAGAGCTAAAGTAAGGAGGTGGGGAGTGTCAACAGATAGGACTGGGTCTTTAAAGTTTCTCAACACAGTTATTACAACTAATCACCTATCATCACTTTGTAAGAGTTATATTGGGGACTGAAAGCTTGATAATAAATATGGCAGAAAAGATCAAACTCAAGACTTAAGGCAAAAATTCAACCAGTTGTGTAAGTATAAGATAATTTCTCCATGGTTTACCTGTAACACCACTACTCTTCATTGTGAGAGGTAGTCCATAGGAAACCAACAAAAGTGAGTAGTACTTTATAAGGACTTTGACTATGTATTTGGGATAGCTAGGATCAGATCTCAAAAGGATAACAACAAAAGCAAATTCCAGAAACAAGAATCTACAATCAGCAATATGCCTTTGCATGCCCAAGAACTTCGGACCTTTGGAATGAAGGATAAGAATTAACCAATCATCATAGCAAGAATGTATACAGGCAGCAACCATGCCCTCACCCACCCCCCTTAAAAAACTGGTTCTAAGACACTGTAATGATCTATAGCTTGGCATGCCCTCAACACTAGTTATGCTTTCTAAGGAACTGAATTTGTAAACATACTTGAGATGAAAAAGTATGCTCCTTTGGACAGAGTCCCAGAAAAGTAAGTAGGGAAGACAATTTAATTCAGTAATCAATTGAATCTTACTATATATGTTTTAGGGTCTCATAATTTAGAGGGCACTATTCTAATGTAAATGGTAGAAGCTACTTTTTAAATCAAGGTGGAAAAAAAACCCACCATACCCAGAATTTAGAAAACATGCTTAGCTTTATTATTCCTCCATTGTTAAGCAACTAACAGTATATTTCAGAAGGGCAGAGATGAGGCAGAACCAAATAAACACAGCAAAAATTCAAATGTACTACAAATTCACTTACTTCTCCTAAGTAATCTCACCTATCCCAATCATATCCATCATTGTAAAGTGTGTTGTTTCTTTTTTTAAAAAAACACACACATCTTTCTCATTGCCTCACTTATAGTACTTTGATTACTTATAGTTTTTCTTAGTAACTTAACTTCTTATTGACTACCTCTTTATGTTAGATGCCAAGGGCAAGCTTGACTTAGCTCATCTCATTCAGAAGCAGATTCAGGTTTTTCAGACACAGAAGCTTACACAAATTTGGAGACTTCTTTAAAGAAGAAAAACACAAATTACAAATGCAAAGTTATGTAAAAAAAATTAGAATGATATGGAAATCCAAATATGTTAGAAAAAAGTAAATATTGGTAAATTCCATAAATGTTGCAAACTCTGGGAATATTACATAATATTTTTATTAACTAAATGCCTAGTATGTCCTTATAATACTTTTCATCTACATTTTTTGGTAGAGTGCTCTTTGGTAGCTTCTTTATACAACAGCTATTTTGTAATAGTATCTATAATGAGACTAGAAGAAAACACTTCAGTCTTTCTTGAAGTACAGTTGATCAAAATTTGTTTAACATACTGACATTTGAGATCTATAAGTCATTTCAACCTCATACTCAGACATAATTGCTGCTTTTAGTACTCTTATAGGTTTATACCTTATCAAAAGATTTGGATCGATTCTATTTCACACAATCTGCATCGCAATTTTAAAAAAAAATATAGGGGTGTGTTGATGACTGTAGATGCTGCATCATTCTATACACTCTGACTAGAAAGCTATAGTTATGGCTTCAGTGCAAATTGAAACTTCTGTTCACACTTGTCTACATCTGATGATTGGGAGAACTTTCCACAGTCTAGCTTAAGACATTTCATACACACTTCTCCATACCTACACATTTTTAGTAAGAGGTGCAACAGGACACACTCATGATGGATACACCTTAGTTGTGCACCTACTGCAGTGACACTAGGTGGCTCAGCATAGTGGGTAGTATTCCTGGTATTCCTGGAAGCTATTCCTTCACCCGGACATCTATCTATAACTTTATTAATCATAGAAATGACTGCAAACCACATAAATAAGTCAGCCTTCCACATTTGCAAGTTCTACCTCTACTGATTCAATCAAGAATGGAAAAATATTTTTAATTGTATCTATTTTGAATATGTACAGGTTCTTTTTCTTATCATTAATGCCTAAACAATTTAGTATAACAATGACTTACATAGCATTTATAGTGTCTTAGATATAAGTTATCTACAGGTGATTTAAAGTATACAGGAATATGTACATAGATGATGCCAGTAGTACATCATTTTATTTATGGGACTTAATCATCTGCAGATTTGGGTGTCCTTAGAGGTCCTGGATTAGATGTGAATCACAGATACTAAGGGACAACTATTTATTCTATGATACCTAAATTAAATGTATTACCAACTTAATTTCCCCTTATCTAGAACCTAAAATACTTATATGCTCTCCACCATCACCAAACATAAAGGCAAGTACTAGAGAGGGCAAGTCAAAGAGATAAGAGATCATTGTTAGCTGACAGTGGCCTTAGCATCTTTCCTTAGCACACTTTACAAAAACACATGACACTAGAACACAATGCTAAAGTCTCTCCACAAGTCATGGTAAGACCTGGGCAGAAAAAGAAACTTGAATTTTCCAAATCACCAGCTTCAATTTTTCTGTCCTGATCTCACTTGGGGACGAGTGTGTGTGTATGTGTGTGTGTGTGTGTGTGTGTGTGTGTGTACATCAACAGGCACTTATGTCTCCACACAAACATAAGTCATGGTATCTTGAAAGGAATTCAGGCTGCTACACATATATATGCACACACTTTTACTTTTTGTTATAGTAAATAAACTTCACAACTAGAGTTATATTCCTGAGTCTCCAGGAATCTTCAATAAAACAGCCTAGGGACATTAAGGGAAATTACTTACTTGAGAGATAAAGGAACAAATGCCATGGAAATGAAAGTCAGGCTCAATCTGATGGCAGGAATGATCTGCAAGTTCACTAGCCAGCTGGTCCAGAGTGTTCACCCAGAGCTGCTGTCACCAGTGTGTGGCAAGTGGAGCCCAGAGGAAGAGGCCTCAAATGGGGAAATGGAAAACACCAAAGATCAAGTGTGCTATCTTGACGGTTAATACCCAGGACAGAACTTGCTGGGTGTCCTAAAATAAATCTAAGTGGAGAATCTGAGGTCCCCCCAGCAAATTGGATTTATACAACTAGAAATAAAACAGGCAATGTTAGAAAAGTGTTTGAGCTCTTGAGACAAAATTTGTCCAGATTAGATTAAGACATATTTGTACCTAAAGGCAGAGAAGTGATGAGGTGACTTCTTAAGGCATTAATTACCAGTCTATGATAAAAGAGAAGGATGAAAATATATTACAGACATAGACAAATGTAGACTTAAGGACAATTCTTTTAACACTCTTCAGAAATCATATAGGCCATTTAAAACCCTGTAATGTATAAAATGTTTTCCCATTTAAAGAAACAGAAAAGAAGCTGTACAAATTTTAAATGTGCCTTTGGGGGAAAAAAACAAAAACAAAAAACAGAAGAATCACCAAAATATTATTCTCCAATATTTCCTATTCCTAATAAGTTTTTCTTGAGTAATTTCCAAGTGAATAGATATAAAACAGAATTTTGCAAGTAGCAGGCAATGAAGCTAAAAAAAGACCAAAACTTTTAACCCATCTCTAGATAAAAATTACAACTTTAATGATCCTTAGAACACTAAGTGAGAAAAATTGTAGAACTTCAATTGTACATAATACTTTCTTTTCTGAGGCTGTTTAAATCTTCTGGCAGACAATGTCTCCCATTCCTTTTAATTCGCCTTTGTGAATGTGACTCTCCAGACAAGGTTCTCACATTCATTGTCCCAGTGACGTCACATCTTCCATGGCAACACTTAGCTAGTCTTTTGTAAATAAGCTCAAGCAACTCTTGGTTGCCTTTCATTTTTTAAGAAAACTATTTTATGGATCCTTAAAATTTCAGATACCATATCTATTGAATTTCACACAAAATAAAATGCAATATTGAGGGAAATATCTTTTTAAAAATTTTTTCTTTGTTTTCTTTTGTAGAGGTAGAGATCAAATCCAGAGCCTCGGATATGCTACGGAAGCACTCTACCCCTGAGCTACATCACTATCCCAGAGAATGACATTTTAAAGCATGAACACAAAATGGAAATTTAGATGAGTCTTGTAAGGCAAGATAGCAGGCTAGAGATTTTGGAAATGGTGCCAAGGTTATGTAATGATGTGCTCTCCCTTTCCAGCCCTTCACACTGCATGAATACAAACTTGGTTAAAAGTCACCTGCAGAGGTAAACAGAAACAGTGGCTTTGGAAATAAACAGCTTTCAAATAATGTCATTATTTTAAGAAAGAGGATCTGAAACTACAACTGTGTAAAAATATATTTACCTATTGACAGAACTAGGAAGTAATGTGCAAAAATGAAAAGAACCAGAGTGTTTCTTTGGTGAGAGAATGATAGAGTATTTTAAAAAAAACTTTTAATCTTCTTGTTCTCCCAGCATCTCAGTAGCAAGGATTTGAAAATGGGTGCACCATCTGGTTAGAAAAGGAGAGGCAAGTGGTCTGACTGGTGGTAGAGATGCTCCCTGACTCTATCTTCTCAGGAGGTCAAGCTTCTTGGGAAACCCACAAGGTAGTGGCTATGACCTCCAAGGTACGATTAAACCTGGGAATTTCTGTAGCTCACTCAGAGGGAAGTAGTAACAGAAATAATTTTATACTTATTATCTCTCAAGACAGAGGGCTAGAAAAATAAGCAGCTGAATTCTCTCTCCCTAACTGCTCCAGAGATTTCTTTTACTTTTGGCTCTGAAGGAGACTGAGTCTGTTACTATGTACAGTCACCTCCAACTGGCCTTAATGCCCAGTTCTACAAAGCCATCTATAAACCCAGAGACTTTGCAAATCTTTGGTAAAATAATAAGTGATGAATTATGTTATTTAAAGGTTAGAAAAGAGAGCAGCATGAAGAAGCAAATTTGGTATTGTACCGCCTTACTAAACTATGTGTCTAATTCTGAACTTAAGAAAACAACAGTGCTGTTTCATCTAAATAACTGTATTAATCAAGAGTAGAAACTTGGGGCAAGGGAATGATAAAAAACATACCTGAGTTAAAAACATACCTCATGAATTAACAAATTTGACAGGCCTAAAAAGTCAAAACTATGTTTGTGGTTTGCCTCCAAAGTCTTGTCTAATCTGGAACATTTCTGTTGATTTTATCTCCTGTTAAGGTGATCTACATAAGGCAGCGACACCTTTGAGTGTTCTCACTTTCTTTCTCTTATTCTTTCTGACTTGTCTTTCTCTTTCTGTCCTCTGGTTTTTCTTCCTTCTTGTCCTTCCTTTCTATTTATTTATCTATTATCTGCCTGTTTATCTGGCTATGATCATTTCCCCCAAGTTCATCACTTCCCTGAGGGACCAGAAAAAAAAAATTGGGTTCCTAATATGGCTTTGTCAGTGTTCAAGGTCTATGATAGGTTGAAACTATAACTAAAGCTGAGGCTTCTCAGATCTGATATCACCCTGTATTGACTCTGGTTAAGGGAGGATGCTAGGGTAGAACTCCTTCACAAAACCATATAGAAAGGCCAATGCATAAAATAAATATGAGTTCCATGTGAAAAAAGTATCACATAAATAAAAGACAGGAATTTATTTTAGCATCTCTGATATTCAGTATTCCTTTCTTTATTTCAGTAATAAAAGAAAACGCTAAAGAAACCAAAGACTTATTATGCAAACTTTGAACACTGTGTCTCATTATTCTATACTCTCTAATTTTTGTATTAAAGAGATCACCTAGTTCATTGTGTATATATACCACAGTTTATTTATCCACTTATCTACTGAAGGGTATCTAGGTTGCTTCCACAGTTTAGCTATTGTGAATTGAGCTGCTATGAACATTGATGTGACTGCATTACTATAGTATGCTGATTTTAAATCCTTTGGGTATAGACCAAGGAGTGGGATGATAGCTGGGTCAAATGGTGCATTTGCAGGTAAATGGATGGAGTTGGAGAATATCTTGCTAAGTGAGGTTAGTCAACCCCCCAAAAAACAAAGGCCGAATGTTCTCTCTTATAAGTAGGTACTGAACCATAATGGGGAGAGGGGAGGCATGGGAGAAATGGAGGAACTTTGACTAGATAAAGGCAGGAAAGATGGTATGAAATGGACATCATTACCCTAGTAATGGACATAGAAATGTAAATAAATTTACATAGAAATGTAAAGTTGTGCTGCAATTGTGTACAATGAATCAAAATGCATTCTGCTGTCATATATACCTAATCAAAATAAATAAATAAAAATTTTTAAAAAGGGAGATCAAGCTGGGTGTGGTGGTACAAACCTGTAATCCCAGAGGCTTGGGAGGCTGAGACAAGAGGATCACGAGTTCAAAGCCAGCCTCAGCAAAAGCGAGGTACAAAGCAACTCAGTGAGACCCTGTTTCTAAATAAAATACAAAATAGGGCTGGAGAGTGGCTCAGAGGTCAAATGCCCCTGAGTTCAGTCCCTGGCAACCCCCACCAAAAAAAAAAAAAAAAAGAAATAAGGAGATGATGACAAAACAATTGAGGGCAGATTCCATAGGGAAAGTCCTAGGAAAAAGTTATTTGTGATATGATCCTCAAAAAGCAATATCTTAGTCAACAGATTCTCTTACTTAGAGTTACTGTGTTGCAACACAGTAAATAAATGAAAATTTGCTTTTCTTTGGGATAACTTAAGGTTGGTTAATAAAATAAATAATGTCAATAGCTTTTTATTTTCCACTAAAAATATTAATTTTATGACATTGAATTCTGTTTCAAAAACAAAAAGCCCAAATTATTCAAATGCCACTGCTAATGAATAACTTTTTTTTTAAAGGGGACTTTTGCCAGATAAATCTTAAATGGACAAAATGTAAAAGAAGTCAGGAAAGTAAAACTCAAAAAATATAAACAAAGTATGTTTTAGAAGTAGAGAACAGAAAAAGTAACACTTTCCCAAAACAAAACCTTCTTTGAAAGAACTGAAGTCCACTACAGCATAGATCTGGAAAAATCAGCAATTGAAATGAATTCTCAAGAACAGAGAGGAGATACTCTTAGAATTCTGCTGTATGATTTCTAGAAAGTTCCATTTTGAATGACAGTGCCTAAAGTATACTATTCTTCATAGATCTACTAAAATTTAAGGTTAAAGTCAGTCTGATGAAAACACATCCCCTGATCTGCTGTTGTCATCTTAATGACTATCATCAGCAATACTGCAATTCTTTCCCTGAAGCAGAAAGGAAACCAGTTAGATTTGTAAAGCAGGCCTTTGGGATTTCTTATGGTCATACTTGGATTCTGAAATGTCAAAATATGGTATCCAGACATGTGCTGCTTAGAAAGCATAACTTGGAAAGATAGCCAGCATTCTGAGTTTTTATGTCCAATTTAAATAATGTTGGAGAAAAATAGTCCTGTGTGGTCTTGAGCAATTTCCTCAACCTCTGAGACTTGTTTTCTCAACTATAAAACATGAATTAAAATACCTACCTGATTGGGTAGTTGTTTAAAATAAATGAAATAATGATTATGAAGCATTTAACAAAGGGCCTAGTAATAGAAATGGTTTCAGTGAGTGGCAACAAAAGTATGTGAATAATCGGATCTAACTTACCCCTGCCTCATGGAGACTGTTCCTATTCCCTGAGAATAGCTTTTGGGCAGAAGCCTGCTCTACATCAGGGAGAGAATCCTGGAAAGCAGAGCTGGGGTGTTGCTGTGACCATGAAAGATCTGTCTAGAGTAGCATAGTAGAAGCAGCAGTACTTATGCAGGAGCAAGAAAAATATGGAAAGGAAAAATCGTAATGAATATTTTCAGAGTTCATAACTCTGTATTTTTACTAAAGATTTCAGGCAATTTTTAAAGCTGGAAGGAAGCTGAAAGAGATAATTTATGTAATCTCATTTCACACATGAAG